AATGATGCTTTTGGAATTTTTATTCAACAAAACATTAAACGACTTGTGATGTTCTGAATTTGTTTTGTTAGTTAAGAGTGATGATTAATCGGCTTGTTCGACTAAGTGTGGTCTTAGGCAGCTTCGTGTATCACTTCTGAAGGAGTGCAGACGTTCTAAAGTTTGGAATCCATACTGCATCTTCCGGCATGGTCCTTACCGATCTGCCCTTAAGGTATGTTGGTCTTCTCAGCTCATCTAAACTATTCGTGTACCTATATGAATGTGCAATTTGACAACCTAAACACGAGAGCCGGCTGCTCCAATTTTTATTAAGCGACGAGTCTTAAAGATGATCTCCCTAAAGCTAGCCTCATTAATGATGTAAAATTCCATTTTATAGTTTAGTACAGTAAGCAATCACCAAGAACAGGCTGCTTCTCGAAGCCTGCGTGGCATGTTGTAATCTCGGTTTCTGGCTTTAACTCTCGGGACATTCGATCCTTTCCCTCTTTCCCATTTCTCTAGATCTGAATGCAAATACGCGAATATGCAGGGTAGGGCCTTATACGCAGCAGAGGCGGACCGCATTCGAAACCGGGCAGAAAACCGTACAAGCTTCTCGTTCACAGATGCAATGGATATGTACACAGAAAACACTTGGGTGTCTGTGTTCTCACTGTCGGTTGTTTGCGCCTTCATTATCCTTTCTAGCACGAACAGCGCCCTTTCCGGCACCTGAGAAAAACGAGTTCCGTATACACATTGTTTCGAATCAAGGAGCCAATTACTATGCGGATGATTGTGGAATTGATAGAGTACGATTCTAAACGCTAAATAGCCATTATATGGTCAGCTTTTCCGCCTGCAACCTCTCAGGACATGCATATATCCAACAATTTGGAGATTAATCAATGATGTTTTAGAGCATGTACTGGCCAAGACACAGCTTTGATGGGTTCTCTGTTGGAAGCATTCTTTGATCCTATACTTGTCTAACATGTAGTTGCTGTTGGAACCAGTACTAATCCAGTTGGGAAATTATTAAATTATTTATTTTACTGAAGTATATTTATCAAATATAAACTATAAATTTAGATTGAAAGCGAATAAATTTGATTAGTCAAATTAGAGGCACTAATCATGAGAAAAACAAAACAAAAGCACGGCCATGTGATTTATCATCATCCATGACCCCTTAATAATTATAAGGTGGTTAATCGGCAGCCGCTTAAGAGAAGATGGCGGTGATTGCCGGCAGTTTGAACTAGTACCTCCGCCACCTCAACCACGACAGAAGTACAGGAGCTTGCTAATGCTGGAAGCTAGGAGAATTGACACAATATAATAATCCACAATTTAAATTATTTCTGAAAATGAAAATATTTCTTCTGTTGGGAAACATGTCCCGATCTTTTAATGTTGTAATTAGCTGTTTTTTGGATTCCACATGCCTTTGCATTTTTATTCCTTCACCCATTATATATTCTTTCTATACTAATTTCATGTCACAACATAACTATTGACTCTAACTCTTCAAGTTGACCATTCAAGTCCCTTTTTATCCAAATTCACCCAACTTCACATTCAACTTTCCATTTTAACTACTAATTATGAATTCTTTTAGAATTCATCTCAAATTTTCCATTTTATTCTAAATAGTCCTTTGCCTTTTTACTTCAATTCAAGCCTCATACAACTTAATTAAATTTCCAGCAACTAATTTCCAGCTCAATGCCTTAAAGATTCCATTATTACCACTTAAGTTACTAACTTTTTCAATATTTTCCATTTATTACTCAAACTTTGACAACTTCCCAAAATAGTCAAATTTCACATTCTAACTTCAAATTCATCACTCAAACTTTGACAACTTCCCAAAATAGTCAAATTTCACATTCTAACATCAAATTCATCACTCAAACTTTGACAACTTCCCAAAATAGTCAAATTTCACATTCTAACATCAAATTCATCACTCAAACTTTGACAACTTCTCAAAATAGTCAAATTTCACATTCTAACATCAAATTCATCACTCAAACATTAATTTTCAGAATATTACTTCATGTGCTGAAAAAATACACATCAACCCCATAATTTTTCAAAATTATCAAATAGGTCCCCAACTTTCTCAAAATTATAAATTGGTCCAAATAACTTTCTAAAGATTGTAGGATCCTTATTACATCATTTCTAACCATTGTATCATTTTTCCATAATTTTTCTCACTTCCAAAAGCTTAGGCCGAATGTTAAGGGGGTAAGGTTTCATGACTTCACTTGATTTCAATTTGACTCGAGCATGAAATCAACCTCTATTCAATATTTGAAAACCTCTAAAATCAAATCCCTAACTCAATTTCATCAAATCACAAATTTCCCCTATTTTAGGGTTTAGGCCAAAATCAATATAACATTTCTAGGTAGTTTTGATCATTAAACAAGCTTAGAAATAATTCTACAGCCTCAATAACCTCAAAATACTTCATCAACTCATAAAACTTTAACATTAACATAAACCCTAAAATTTTGGAACTTAACATTCAAGCAAGATTAGCATGCAATAATGGTACCAAATGATAGAGCTCTTCGAATAGAAGAATTTTATATTTCACGATTCGATCTGAAATCCAAAGGAAATTGCTCAAAATTAAAAAATAAAATTTCTCTTACCTAGGTTATGAGGAGCACAAAATGGAGGTTGAAAAATGTCTTATTTTCATGAAATTTCTAGTTAATGTCATGCTAATTTGTCATTTATTAAGCTTAAATGAATTTAAAATTCATTTGATTAGGAAATGACAATTTTACCATTAATGAAACTTGATAATTACATCTATATCAAGACACATGTTGGTTATCATCTTCCAAAATCAAAGATGAACAAAATATTATTCCCTTAACAACTTTATCCATGCAACTTTCTAATAATTTCAATCTTGTCATTTTCATCTAACGATTCACATTGAACATGGAAATAAATTCTCAAATCCAATGGTCCATATTATTTCTATCATTTTAAAATATGTAAATAACATTTATAAGCTTAATTTAATATCTTTCAAATTTTCTCAAAATTTATGTTCGATCTAATTTACTAAATTTTACCGAACTTTAACACTTTACAGCTTTTAACATAAATTTCGGATAAAAAATCTGATTCCACCAAAACGTTATTCTTGAGGTTGAACTATTCAATTATGGGGTCAAAACATTTAACTTTTAAAAATTACACTTTTGGTCCTTAAATTTATGAAAATTTCCTTTTTGGTCCATGAACTTTTCTAAATTTTATATTTTAATCACTAAACTTTCAAAATTTATATTTTGGTCACTAACCAAAATTTTAGGGGTGTTACAAGTGGATTCTTTTGCTTCGGGTGCTAGGGTGAACTGGAATCAAGTGTGTTCGTTTAAGTCGGATGGGGGGTTAGGTTTAAAGGACCTAGCAGGCTGGAACCGTGCTTATCTCTTCTACTTGCTTAGGAAGCTCCTTGCGAATGATGGTTCATTATGGGTGGCTTGGGTGAGGTCGTACATCACTAAAAAAAGACTAATTTATGGAGTTTCGAACCGAAAAAGTTGGGTTAGTTGGAGTCTAAAGAAGATTTTCTTCTTTCGGGAGGCAACTAGGCCTTAGCTCATTTCTTATGGTTCGAATCAGATATCGACGAGGAATATTTGGTCTGATTTACGAGTTGCAAGGGACAAGGTCCCATGTAAAAAGCTAGTATGGTTTCCTTTGCATGTGTCGGGGTATGCTGTCATTGCTTGGTTGGTCATGCTAGATCGTTGGCTATTAAGGATAGGCTGCTTCGCTTTGGGGTTGCGGTGGTTAGTCTTTGTGTACTTTGCAAGGCAAAGGATGAGTCGAGGAACCACCTTTTCTTTGAGTGTGCTTTCTCGGTTTGGCTTTAGAAGACGATTCTCTCCATGTGTGGGGATAGACACACTGCGGAAGAATCGGACAGGGAGACGCAGTGGGCTATTACGCGTGGGAAGGGTAAGTCTTTGTCTAGTTTTATTCTTAAAATAACGTGGAATGCTTTTTTGTATTTTATTTGGGAAGAAAGGAATATGAGGTATGGATGAAGCTTGATTCTCAATTTTGTATAGCTTAGGGGATAAGGGATTGATTTCATTCTTTTGTACAGGGGTTTGATTGTTTTTGTAGCAACTTGTACTTTCTTTAGGATATAATTCATACATTCTATCAAAAAAAAAATATTTGATTTTTCAAAGATAAAATATTTTCTTTTTAAATCCTAACAGTGGGGAGGTAGAGAAGGAGGAAGTGACTTGTATATCTTGATTCATGTTGATCGGATGATGGATCTTATAAATTAAAACGGTTCAGAGTTTTGCAAGTTTTGAGTTTAGGGTTGATTTTAAAGCGATTTAAGTAAAATCTAAACTTATTGAGTGTTATGAAACAATGAGGCAAGTTTGTCGACATCTTTAGTAATTAAAGGAGATGTCGAAAAATAATAATTACAACGCTAGCATGACAAAAAAATGAAACTATAAAACCTTCATCTTTAAAGGAATAACATAAAAATATAATATAATTGAGACGACAAATGAATTTCATGTTAATAAAAAAAATTCTCATCAATACATGTGATCATGTCACCCTCTTATTTATAATTTACATTCAAATGATCAAAATAAAAAAAACAAAAGTTTAATAAATAAATTAAAATAAATTCAACTCTAATAATCAAAATAGACGATCTTTTACTAGAATGATTTCTTTCCTTAGTATTTGATTGTCGTATTAATATAAAATTAAATCTTAAATTAAAAAAAGATTCTATTGACATTATTTTCAATTAGTAAAATTAAAGTTTTATTATGACGTAGTTCAACCGGAGTTGGTTTTTACTATTGAAATGGGTAAATTTGAGGCGCGTTGAGTGCTCCACTACAGCTACCACTAGACAAGAAGGTACAGCACAGCAGCATTTAGCACTAAAAAAGGTTCAAAATTTGGTAAAAAATTTTCAAAAGTGTCTTCAAGTAATCCTCAACCCCACAACCACGCAGCGGCGAAGGGCGGGGGGCAGTTGCCATCTCCCACCACCTTGAACAAAAGAAACTTGCAAGTAATACTTACTACCTAAAACGCCACAATGTCAAGCAAACCCCCTTCATTTTCCTCTGATCCCTATTCTTGTATCTTAAAAACCTTCCGAAAATTATATCTTTTTTGCTAACCAAAACCCATAAAGATTCAAGTTCTCTTTAGAGCTTTGTAGTTTTCTTTTTTTGGGTTTTTTGTTTTTTTAGAGAGAACAATGTCATCAACTCCATCCCCAGGGGCTTCTCCGGCCCCGACATCACCTCCGTCAACAAATTCATCTTCTCCTCCGCCGTCTTCCGCCGCTACTCCGCCGCCAACCGCTGTGACATCTCCGCCACCCGCCACCCCATCAGCTCCTCCGCCTTCGACCGTCCCGTCCCCTCCTGCTCCCTCCACGTCATCACCTCCGCCATCATCGTCTATCTCCCCACCGACTCCAACCACCGCTTCTCCTCCACCATCGTCGTCCTCCAGTCCTTTCCCTCCGTCTCCTCCTACGTCTACTCCGAGAAATCCATCGCGCCCTCCGACTTCGAGGGGTTCGGGGACTCCGTCTCGTCCGTCGGCGCCGCCGTCTGAATCGGGAACTGGGGTGACGACGGGAATGGTGGTCGGGATAGCAATAGGGGGTGTGGTGATATTGTTGTTTTTGAGTTTGTTGTGTATATGTTGTAAGAAGAAGAGTAGAAAAAGAAGAAGAGATGACGAAATTTACTACGTTCCTCCCCCGCCACCTCCTGCTCCTAAAGGTCAGATCTCTCACCCACCTCCACCATTTTTGTTAATTAGTTTGAAAATTTGAACCTTTTAGAAATGGAATTTCCTTGACAGATTTGAAGATTGATCCATATGAGATATTTGAATCATAAATTTGGTGCTTTTTGGTATACATTGCTGTTACTGCATTTGCATGTGCCTCTTCGATTTTGGTTGGATCATATGGAAGATAGATATCTCACAGTGTTTTTTACTTGAAAATCTCAGTTTGATTGAGTTTTAAAATAGTGTTTTTCTTTTTTTCCTCCAACCAGAAGATCCCTATGGTGGACATCAGTATCGGCGGCAACAAAATCCGCCACCACCACCTGTGAATCAATCCGCTGCAGCACCTCCAAAGCCCACTCCTCCACCAGTTACAGCATGGCGACCTCAGCAAATGCCGCCGCCTCCACCACCCCCACCTTTCATGAGCAGCAGTGGAGGTTCTGGATCTAATTATTCCGGTTCCGAAACCCCACTTCCGCCACCCTCGCCTGGTATTGCGTTAGGTTTCTCGAAGAGCACGTTTACCTATGAAGAATTAGCAAGTGCAACGGATTGCTTCTCAGATGCAAACCTTCTTGGGCAAGGTGGTTTCGGGTATGTTCACCGAGGAGTTCTCCCGAATGGGAAACAAGTAGCGGTCAAGCAACTGAAGGCCGGAAGTGGACAAGGGGAGAGAGAGTTTCAGGCAGAAGTTGAGATTATTAGCCGTGTTCATCACAAACATCTCGTGTCATTGGTCGGATATTGCATCTCCGGGACGACAAGAATGCTTGTTTATGAGTTTGTTCCAAACAACACTTTGGAGTTTCACTTGCATGGTAAGATAATCTTAAGTTGCAGATCATAATGCTTGTTTCAGTTATGGTGGGTGCTGAGTAATGTTCGATTCATCTGGTAAAGTGATCTAATACATACTGCTAATTCCAGGAAAGGGGAGACTTACCGTGGATTGGCCTACTAGGTTGAGAATTGCTATAGGATCTGCAAAAGGACTAGCATATCTTCATGAGGATTGTATGCTTTTTTGATCGCTCCCTTGCATGCTTGCTCTGGATTTAGGATTTTAGCGTCTTATTATTAACCATTATCAATATTTTCAGGTCATCCTAAGATCATTCATCGCGATATTAAGGCTTCTAATATTCTTTTGGATTACAAATTTGAGGCTAAGGTATTAATTCATTCTAATTTCTTAGCACTTGTGAACACTTGAAACATAAACGAGATCCAAACTAATGCAACCGAAATGCAGGCATTGTTCTCTCTGAGTTAATTCATCTTGGTATTTTTGGTCGCCCAAATCTACATGTTTTTCACCCTTTATTGTCATTTAGATGATGGACAAAAATGTTGTTTTCAGGTTGCCGATTTTGGACTTGCAAAGTTTTCTTCCGATTTCAACACTCATGTCTCTACTAGGGTGATGGGTACTTTTGGGTAAGAAGACATCTGCTCTCTTTTTTCCTTTGTACATTGGACATATGATTAAAAAAATTTGCTAGTTGTTTTCGATTTACTTGAGTCTCAATCACTTCAGGTATTTGGCTCCCGAGTATGCTTCAAGTGGAAAACTCACGGACAAATCAGACGTTTTCTCGTTCGGGGTCATGCTTTTGGAATTGATTACTGGACACAGACCTGTTGACTCGTCTTACATGGAAGACAGTTTGGTGGAGTGGGTTAGTTATATTAATTTTGGTCTATGATTTTCGTTGCATTCACTCACAAACACGCTGTACGGCAGTCTGGATTAAGTTCCATAGATTCTTTATTAAGTAAATCCGATTTGGCATTGCAGGCTAGGCCATTGCTCACTCGAGCTTTGGATGATGGAAACTTTGATAGTCTGGCTGATCCCAAGTTACAAAAGGAATATAACCATAATGAGATGACTCGCATGGTCGCTTGTGCTGCTGCTTGCGTGCGACATTCTGCAAGACTTAGACCTCGGATGAGCCAGGTAACCGGTTTAGCCAAATTTCTCTCAAATGCCTTTTTTGAGTATCGAGACATGAAGTACTTTACTTTCCGTTTGACTGCATGGTAACCAAAACTTCAACCGAACAGATAGTCCGTGCCGTGGAAGGAGATGCATCATTGTCTGATCTCAATGAAGGAATGAAACCCGGACAAAGCAGTGTCTACAGCTCTTACGAGAGCTCTGAATACGATACAAGCCAGTACAATGAAGACATGAAAAGGTTCAGGAGGATGGCCTTGGGCACAGGCACAGAGGAATATGCCGCTAGCAACGAGTACAGCGAGCCCACCAGCGAATATGGTTTATACCCTTCTGGCTCGAGCAACGAAGGGCAAACCACCCGCGAAATGGAGATGCGGAAGTTGAAGAAAAACAACCTGGGTTTCAGCGGGAACTCAACCTCGTGACGCAACAATCCTCATCACAACATTGTAAAGCTCCCATTCTCCTTTTACATACCATATGAACTCGAGTCGGCTTGTGTTTTATTTTCCCATGGAGATGACACAAATTTAATCCCTCTAATTTTTAAACTAAGGGTTTTTATTGATTTGTAATTTTTTTAGTGATTTCACAAAAATGGATACAATTTGCACCATTCTTTCATTTATTGTTGAAATGTTGATATCAGTTTGGTTTGCTGAAAACTAGGGTTTCTCCTTGCACATTCCCTGCCAGTTTGCTTGAATTGCTTACAATCTCAGTAGTGAGGTAGGCTTGAAAATGACTAAAGTTGAGAGAGAGAGAGAAAAAGAATAGGATGGGGGCATTCTTCCAACTTTGAAATTGTCCTGAACTGGGTAATTTTATTCAATTTGGTCCTTGGGTTTGAATCTTTCTTCCATTTTTAGTCCTTTTAGGAAAGGTTAGGCGGGGTTCACTATGATCACGTGCATGGCCTAAGAAAGCAAAATTCTCCGCATTGAAAATGGCAAAAGTGGGCATCTCATTTGGTGGTCCTCTCCTCCTAGGATAAGGTTCTGTTTGTGGAATAATTCGTTCGATAAAACTTGCATCTAAAAGCCGCTTTTGAGAACAGTTAGTCATGAAAGCATAGATTACTGATCTGTAAAGTTTATTAGGCACACCAAATGCAGTGCAGAATAAAGTAACAAAACGGCAATAAAATAAGCATGACAGGCTAACGAGGGGTAAACTACGGCAATGACTGTTAATGTTTGGGTAAGTGTTTGTTTTTACCACTGATGTTTGAAAAGTCACAAATCGATCACTAACATTATCGTTTGTTACAAAATGATCACTAACGTTATCGTATGTTACAAAATGGTCGCTCGACGTTAGCATTCTGTTACAGTAACAGAATGCTAGTGGCACGTTAAACCAGCTGACTCAACATCTTTGATCTACCATTTGATTTTTTTTCTTCTTCTATCTCTCCTCTCCTTATATTGTCTGTGTGTTTTTAAACTATCATCTCCATCACTCCACCCCGGTACATGTTAATATAGATTTATTCAATTAACTCAATATTCATTAATATTTTAATATAAATTTAACCAAGCCTTCAAGTAGAGAGATGAATAGATAGTCATTGGGAATCTGACATACACGCACACTAGAAGGAAAATGCAGTAGTAGCTATGGATCAGCATTCTCGCACTTAAATTCATGCACAAGAAAAGCCCGAGGGGGTCATGCTCTCTTTGTTTTGATGATGATCTTTCCTCTTCAACTTAAAACTCCTTACGTCTCAAAGATTGTAAAGTTTTCTTTGCTTTGTGTCTAGGTTCTTGATGTTGCAGGAAGATTCCAGGCAAACAAGCCAACACACAACACATTACTATTATAAAAGATTTTGCTTTAAATTATTCATTGGAGGCAATAATAAGGATTGAAAAGATTGCAGGAAATATTTAACCACTCGTTAATGCTAATCACTGGGTTTTTGTTTCAAGACAAAAATAACCCACACACCTGTTGCTTAGTTTGTATGTATTAATGGGCTTTGATTGGTGGGTGGGAAATAAAAATCTTTTTTTTTTGGATAAGTAAGTTATATTCCATCCAAAAGAATGTAGCCAAGGCTGCTACAAACCGACACAAACCACAAGCACAAAGACTACTTACATCCTCAAATCATAATATCCATGCCTGTACATCTTAATTTTTACAGACTCTAACAGTCTATTTACAATTACATCTATCGAACGAATCAAATTTCTATGATATCTATGATTACGTTCCTCCCAAATGAAGTAAAGAAAACCAGTCCACACAAGCTTAAGGACACGAACTCTAAGAGATTTACCTTTGAGGTTAGCCAAGAGCCATTGAAGGAGATCATCCCAGGATTGAGCCACAAACGAGAGGCTACAAGCATTCAGAACAGCCCCCCAAACACCTCTTGCATAAGAACAGTCAACGAAGAGATGGTCACGAGATTCCAAACCAGCACCACACAATCCACATCCAGCATCCACAGTCAGTCCAAACCGAGCAAGCCTATCTTTCGTGGGTAACCTATCAAGAATGACCATCCAAGAAATTAAAGAAAACTTAGGAACATGGCCCGGGAACCAGATAAGTCTATGCCAACTAACTTTCTCCTTGCTTTCACAAATGCAATCCCAAATCCATTTCCCATTAACAAGATTCCAGTTAACATAAGGCAGAAACAGTCTCCTAGCCTCATCTCTCAGCTTCAGAAGTTTGACTAATATCCAGCTAAAGTGGGGTTTGCAAACAACCTCCCAGTAGCTCACAGATTTAAAGCAATACTCTTTATCCATGCAATCCAGAGCGAGCCCTCACCAGCCAAAATGTTTCTGACAAGTAGCAGGCAGCATGCTCTGCTCCAGACCACAAGATTCCTGAGACCCAAGCCACCCTCAGACTTTACAGAGCAAACCTGGTTCCAGCCAACACGAGCACCCCTAGCAGGGATGTCACTGCCCTTCCAGAAGAAACGCATACAGAGCCTCTCAACATCCCTTATAATCCCTTTAGGAAGGAAAAGCTGCCTACTCCAGAAATTGAAGATACCAAATAAAACAGTTTTTACCAACTGCAGTCTACCCCTAAAGCTAAGGTTCTTGTTGGACCATTGGCTAAGCTTGTTTTTAATCCTAGCCAATAAGGCTGCACAGTCTTTACCTGTGAGCTTCCTAGTCACCAGTGGTACTCCAAGGTACCTAACAGGAAGATGCCCTAATCTGAAGCCAGTAGCAGTGCAAATCTGATCCAGAGCATAAGTACTCAAACCATAAGCAAACAATTCTGTTTTCTGGGCATTCAGCCTAAGGCCAGACAACTCATAAAATTTCTCCAAAGTACTCATCACTCCCAAAACAGAATCAAGAGACCCATGGCAGAAGACAAGTAAATCATCCGCAAAGCAAAGATGAGTGAGAGGAACTCTCTTACACTTGGGGTGGAATTTAAAGATTCCTTGTTTAGCAGCAACATCCAAAAGAGAAGACAAAACATTCATGGCCAGGACAAAAAGGTAAGGAGACAGGGGATCTCCTTGCCTAACTCCCCTAGCACCCTTAAAGAATCCCACAAGACTCCCATTAAGAGAGACAGAGAACATAGGAGTAGTGATGCAAGCCTTGACCCAATTACAAAAGATGAAAAGAATACCCAATGCCTCAAGAACAGACAACAAGAAACCGCAATTAACTGAGTCAAAAGCTTTTTGAATATCTATCTTAATGGCACACCTAGGGGAAAGACTACTCCTAGAATAGCCCTTAACAATTTCCTGAGCTAACAAGGTATTATCAACAATATTCCTCCCCCTCACAAAGGCAGACTGACTTGGAGAGATCATGGTAGGGAAGAATGGCATAAGTTTATTCACAAGGATTCTAGTGATGGTCTTATAAACCACGGACCAACATGAAATGGGTCTAAAATCTCTAGCCAAGCAAGCATTGAGGGATTTAGGGGCCAAAACTAAGGCAGTAGAGTTGAAAGCATGTAACATGCAAGAGGAGTGAAAGAAGTACCTCACAACAGAAATAAAATCTGCTCCAACAATGTCCCAAGCAACTTTGAAAAAACCAGCTGTATATCCATCTGGTCCAGGACTTTTGTCTTTACTTTGCTTAAACAAGGCCTTTTTAATCTCCAAATCATCAACCTCTTTAATGAGAGAGTCAGCAGCAACATCAGGCAAGGTGTAATTTAACAGTTCTTTGAGATTAGCAGAAGAACAGCCCCTAACCATAGGATCAGTGGAACCAATGAGACCAGTAAAAAAGTTGACTAATTCAGCAGCCATCTCATCAAAAGAGTCAAAACACTGGCCCTCTTCACTCATAATAACTCTGATGGTATTCTTCTTTTTATTAGACTCAACCTTCTGATGGAAGAATCTGGTATTTAAATCACCCTCTTTTAACCAGTGCATTTTAGCTCTTTGCCTATAAAACTCAGACTCAGCAACTTCCAGGTCAACTAACTCAGCTTGAATAATTTTTTCATAATCCAGCCTTCTCTGATCCACATGAGATAGGTTAAAAACTTGAAGCTGTTCTAGCTCAGATCTCTTGGAACTAACTCTACCAGAAATATCCGAAAAGAATTCCTTATTTAATATCTTGAGGCAAGGCTTGAGTCTTTTCAGCTTTCTGAATAAGCATTGCATAGGGTTCCCTTCACAATGAACCTGCCAGCATTCCAGAACAGTACTCAAAAACTGCTCATGGCCAGTCCAGCAGTTAAAAAATTTGAAAGGCCTAGGCCTCTTGGACATACACCCTTTTTTAGACCACAACAAACCCAGACAGTGGTCTGACACTCCTTGAGCCTTGAATTCAACAAAGGACTCAGGGAAATCCAACATCCACTGAGAGTTGACCAATATCCTGTCAAGTTTCTTGGCCAAAAAAGAGCCCTCCTGTCTGTTTGACCATGTAAACAAAGGGCCTAGGAAAGGATGATCCATCAACTCAAGATCATCCAGAAACTCCTGGAACTCCCTCATATCAGGAGTAAAATGCACACCCATGACATCAAAGTCAGAACTTTCCTCAGGACTAGCAATGATGTTAAAGTCCCCCCCAACCACCCATGAGAAAGAACTTAAATAATTAGCAACAGTCTTCAAATGAATCCAAAGATCTCTCCTAAGGACCCCATGATTGCTACCATAAATGGCAGTTATGCCAGTCCTGTGCCCATCAACAGTACCAAATAAGGTGATGGCCTGATCACATTTCCTCAGCACAGAAAGCAAAAGATTCTTCCTCCATAAAATCCAAAGTCTACCTCCTTCAACAGAATTATAATTCTCAGCAATATTCCAGTCACTAGATAAAGAAGAAATAAACTTAATAGAACCATCTCTTCTAATCCGAGATTCCATCAAACATACAACATCAACCTCAAAAGAAACCAGTCTCCTTAAAATTTTCCTTTGCTTAAGGGGGTTGTTAATCCCCCTAACATTCCAAAATGCAACAATCATCAAGAGGAAACAAGAGGCGCTCCACTACCAGAGACTAAGCTAACCACATTACTTTTGGCTTTATCATGATGGTCATTTTTCTTAGCCTTTATCTCATTAAGCAAAACTGCCACCCCCATAGAAGCTACACGAGTCTTCCTAGTACCTTCTGCCAGATTATCAACTTTATCAGAGGTACCAACAGCATCCTTCTTCTTACCCCTAGCCTTCTTTTTAAAAGAGTCTTGAAGAGGAGGGAAGTCATTAGCCTGCGAGGCAGCTAACTCAACACCCTCAGCAACAAGACAAACACCACACTGACCACTGTCATTCTGTTGCTGACCCCCAGTGGTAACAACCAAATCAGTAGACTGATCCAAGACAGGATAAACATAATGCTTTGTGACAGGAATCACCATATCAACATTGACCTCTTGCAAAGATTGCACAGAGGCCTCTATGGCAGTCCCAACTTGCAGCCCCATGCAGTCCAACATAGCCTTAGAGTTACAGGTAACCCCATGAAAGGCTTCACCACTAGAGCTACAAGAAGTATCCTTGCAAATAGGAACAGGCTCAGACAGAACCTTAGAAAGATTAGAAACAGAAGCAAGATTACCAGAATTGACCACATTATCAGAAGAGGTATTGGATACAACCTTCTTCCTCCAAACTTTAGCTTCCTTAGGCTTTAAAGGAATACCATACTCCAAACAAGAGCTAACATGGTGACCAAAAACCTTGCACTTATCACAGCTTTTAGGAACCCAAGGCACATACACTCTGATTCTCACAGAAGATCCATTTAAAAACACATGAATCAACTCAGGGATAACACCCCCAGCTTCAAGCTCAACACACACTTTGGCATATTCAAGCCTCGACCTAGCATCAGTTATAGAATCCATATAAAGAGGGTTACTAATTGCGCTAGCTATGTAGCTAAGACCCTTTTGAGTGTAAAGCTCCAAAGGGACATTATGAAGTTGAACCCAAACCAGCATACAAGACAGATCAAAACTAAGATTCTGAAGCCCTGGCTCCCATTTCCTTAAAACTAGGGGCTTATTTTGAATATGCCAGGGACCGTTATCAATCACCCAGTCCCTTAGATCATAATTCAAGAACGAGAAAACATAAAGATTAGGGCCAGCCAAACTAACCGTAACCTGTGATGAATTCCCCCAAATCGCCGCAATTGTTCGTTGCAATGAGGAAAAATTTGGGGCCAAATCTAAAAATTGCCCCACTAACGCATGATTCCAGTCAGCAATACCCTCCTCAATCACCTCAGAAGGGGGTTTAACAGTAGCAACACCGTCCTGCAGAACAGGAGAAAAATATTCAAGCGACTGTTCCTTAGAACCCACAAAAAGCTTCCTCCAATCTAAACCCAGCGGCTCCGAACCCATGAAAAGGAAAAAAGAACAAGACGAGAAAACGAGAAACAACCAAAACGAAGGAAGAATCAACAGCGAAGAAGAAACTCAGGAAACCCATTAAGCCAGCAAACGAGCGTCCAGAGAGTTTTCATTTTTCTTACTTTTAACGTTTTAGTCTCTCTTATTATTTGATCGGTAAATAAAAAATCTCTTATATATCCTTCTTTCATTTAATTTATTCTCATGGCATTTCTTAATACAAGTTTAGTGTTTTGCCTTAATCTTTGATAAGAAAACAAGCTTTCTTTCATCTGGTTATTCCTCATGCAACTGTTTTACATCGAAAACTCATTGTTGTTATCAGTTTAATCTGTCCAAGATAAATTTTTTGTAGAACATGTAGTCTCATGCTTACTATGTTTATGACAGTGAATTAGGATTGAAAAGATTGCAGGAAAGATTTGAAGTTATATATTAGTTTAATAAAGGGTGGTTGAGATCAAGAGTCCAAGGTTTTTTATTAGAAACCAATGGTTTAATGGAACCACGAGGACGAGATAAGAAAATAGGGATGCTAAGCTTTTTTTAGCATGAAACATGAACTGCAGGTTAAAGGTAGACGCTCGTCTGCACTTGCTTTTGCTTCGACCTTGCTTTATTTGGAAACCTAGTTTAGGGTTAATAGGTGTGGGATTTGTACCTGAGTAAGAGTTGCTGCTTTCAAGCACGGATATTGGGGTGGAGAGATGGAGAACATAGTAGAAGAAGAAGGGTCAAAGAGTCAAACGGCCGGTTAAACATGTTGAGTCAATTGGTTTAACGTGTCAAGTCAGCAATCCGTTATTGCAGTAACAATTGTTAACGACTGTTAACGTCGAATAACCATTTTATAACAAACGATAACATTAGTGACTGATTTGTGACTTTTCAAACATAAATGGTGAAAATGAATACTTACCCAAGCATTAGTCACAGGCGTAGTTTACCCGCTACTCAGGACAAGGTGGTTTTGACTGCTGCTTTTCCTTAAATTTCGTGGTGGTAGATTCTCTTTCTTGGTTAGTTTAGCTGATAGATAATGTGATATGAACTGTAAACAATTCATATGGATTCAAGAACTGCATACTCGATTTTTCAGATAGGGTTCCGAGAGTTCAACCCATTCGATTGAAGATTGCTCGGCAAAAAAGCTTAAACTATTTCGAACACTATCCAAATCCGAATATCTAAAACCCTGGTCCAGATTTCGGGGGTTCTTCATTAATTCATTCAACGGTACATGAATATCCTGTTGTACACTTGAGACTCCGGTCGGTATAAAAAGAATTCGCAGTCTGCCTTAGCCTCCCCGTTCTTTCATCGAGGTAAAAGAAGTAAACTTCTGCTTCCAGGGAGCATCCTTTTGTTGCTCGATCCATGACAAAAAGGCGCTGTCTAACAGGCAGAAGATATTGACATAAAGGAGTTGGTATCTCACTGGAACATATCGGAAATTTGCAACCCGAACGATTGGCCATACGCCGCCTTCCAAAATCAAGGCCGGGAGGAAATCTCTCTTCACGTCTTCCTTCACTTGAGCGGCGTTTTTGCCGGTGCAAAACCCCATATAAGTGAAAAACACGAACAAGTCAAAGGGGCCAAAGATAAGGCCATCCATTGCAACTTTGGCAGCGACGAACTTTGCCGACTTTGGGCGGAGTTGAAGCCTCATCTTTATAAATTTGTCCAAGCCTTCATACCTACACGGAGAAAGGATTATGGCTGTAAGCAGCTGCCAGCATAACCGGTTCAAGATATACTCCTATTGCCAATCTTACAAGATAAAACCCAGTTCTAAGTTCCGTTTATACGTATTAGTTCTATACGATCGGTAAGAATTCTGTAATATTTTATCGAATGAATCAGGGAAACACGTTTCAATCCCCCGAAGTACAATTTTACTGTTCCGGACTTGGCCATTTGAACTTGACAAAATCCTTGATTTTGTTGGAGGCATGTAGAATGCTAACTGACAATCATCACATACAAAAACTTTGATATCTTACAAAGTACTAGCCATCAAATGCTCCCCAAGAACACCTTCAGAGTTCTCTTTTCCTTTAATTTTTGCAGATATAATCAGGCTAATTAAATCACATTAAAGAAGGGAAGAAGAAGAAGAAAAACAAACCAGAAGTGTCCAAGTGGTCCGACAAATCCAAATCCAAATGTACTTGTGACAGCTACCCTTTTCCAGTTGACCTTAAATTCTTGATCTTCATCCTGCCAATTGAAACACCAATCATTGTCTTACTATTACTTCGGCACACACACAAGCGGATGATAGAAACTATTACTTCAGAAAACGCAAACACGGTTCTTCCGTTCTTGCCAACAAATCTTTGGACAACGAGTACAGTATATATGTAAAAACATATGAAACGCGTCATTACAGCTAGTTACTCGTCAATTAGGAATAATGTTTATTTGTTGATATCATTATACAAGAATCATCAAACAGAAGAAATTGGTTGTTTAAAGTGTAAGAAAACAATCCTAAAGAACAAAACATGCAATAAATACTTCTATTGCCTTAAAAGAGAAAGGTAAGTAGAGACTGCTGAAAGGGAAATGTGTCATCGAATTATGAATAATCCAAAATTAGTTAACCCGAATGCATGATACCAACCAAAAAACAACACCTTAATATCAACTGCTTAACCACGATTATCTTGGTACAAAATTGAAATTTATTTCTACAATTAAGTAAAATTCATAAGCACGTATTTTATGCTTGCTATGAAACTCGAGGTAAGTGTAAACTGGTGTGAATGTGTCAGATGCATGAAACACAAAGATCAACCAACTCTTATAAAACAATCATTTAGTGGTGAAAAGCTACGTGATCAGAACCGCACAAGCTTTGAAGAATTCATATCGCCTAAGATTTATGATTGAATTTCGCGAATGACAGAATAAACATGGAAAAAACTCAAATTTACATCAAATGCTAAGAAATGCACACCATAACATCATTAAATCCACTGTGACCATAAACCCTGGGTTGGAATCGTTGCTAACTAAGACACAATTTTGGCTTAATCACAAGTAGATCAGCACGAACACGAAAAAGGTTGAGACCGTGACAAAAGGAGGGAAGAACACAGCAGGCATACTTTTCTTAACAGCTCTATCTCAAGTGAATCCTTGTAGCACACTAGGATGTCTTAGGACTTAAACGGCACACCTTTAATGCGGTTTCGGACTATAATCACCACAAATGACAAAACTTTGGAACCAATGGCAATATCCAAGGCACAAATATTAATTTAGTTTCCATTACGGAAAGGGAGCAAGCCAAGCCAAGACATTGCTATTATAAGATTGAATTTACGTCACCATTTGAAAATCAACATTATCAAGTATCAATCAACAGCACTCAATCAAAGATAAACTATGAACATCAAGCAGGCAATCCTGGAGCTAATGGACAAAATGCGAATATAATCCAAACAAAAATCATTATAGAATGTTGCAATAACCCACAAGAAATCAACATAAAACCTAAACATGCACATACCCAATAGCTCAGATAGGTAAAAGTTAGGCACAAAAGTACTGGTACCATTTCCATATCTCAACATTTTGTGTGTGTGTGTTGGGGGGGGGGGGGGGGTTGGAGACTAGAACAGAGAAAATTTGGAACCCATTTCCAACTGGAGGTCAGACTATACCTAATTGCCCAACTCCTTTGAGTTTTGCGGGTGTTTTTGGCTTACTTGGAGTTCTATTAAAATGATAAAAGATTACTTTTTTTTTGTATTCAAAATACAACAAATCCGACTATTATTAACAAAATCAAGCTACAATCCCTCCTATACTTATATAGATACAGGTGTTTATCGAACAAGTCGATCACGAGTTTGGTGGTGTTTGATTAGTGTTCGTTAAAATAATTTATTGTTCAACTCGATTCGTTTCTCGTTAAGATCGTTAAAATTTTGCTCGACTCATGCTCGTTAAAAAAAACTTATTGCTCAACTCGTACTCGTTAAGTCCATTGCTCAGCTCGTTGCTCGTTAAGATCACTGAAATTTTTATCTTATTTTTTTTAACTATAGGTAAAATCTATTAATATTATAAATTAATACATTAATCATTTGTCATGTTTTTATTATCTATCAGCAAATTAGTAGTTTTTGAATGAAATAATTTTTAAAAATAACTACTAAAAATTATTAAAAAAAACTTATCAATTTAAGTTAAACTTTATTCAATTCAACTCGTTAAGATCTCAAGTCAAATTAATCCGAATTAAACATCTATTAAATTTTGGCCGAATCGAATTTAAATGACTGACAACTTGTTCAACTTATTAAGTAGCCCTACTCATCAATCTATGATTTATGTGGGACTGTTTGACCAGGAGTAAAAAAATGAAAACGCTAGTTAAAGTTAAAGTTAAAGTTCAAATTCAATAAGCTAAGGACAAAGGGAAACTAAAAATCAATATAAAAATAGTTTACAAATTTTCTGTGCTCTAAAATTGTTAGCCACTGGGGCAAAAGCTATCGTGGCAGCATGTGATTCCACAAATAATGTACAAAGTCATAAGTGGCAACAAAAAAGAAGAAGAAGAAGAAGAAAAACCCATGCAGAGAATCTGTTTCTGATAATATTTTGTGGATAAGAATCTCAGTTGGATATGTAAAACACAATCACCATTCACCCATTCCCCATTACACTCCAACACACCTCTTTCCCTATTTCAACTCTCTATTTGCTCCTTTCATCTCTCTCAAATCTTGGCCATGCATTATCAAAACCCATTTCTCTAGAGGTACCGTCAGCTCTTCTTCAAAAATGTTTTTTGTTTGTTTGTTTCCATTTAGGTTCTTGGCGTGTGTAAACATTTGCAGGCTTTTAGTTATAGTTTCAGGGTTTGGTCTTACTTTGCTTGCTTGTGTTGATGTATGGTAAATTGCATTTTAATCTGTTCCTCTAGAATTTGTTCCTTTTTCTGTATATGATTGTTAATGGACTGATAGATGCTGCCATTTCTTGGCTAAACCACGAATTAGTGTAGATTTTGGCACTTACATCCGAGTATGATTAACATAGCTTGTATGTGTGTGATGATATATGACTTGCCTTGTTGTGTAAGATGAAACATAAACTATTGCCAAAACCTTAGTTTAAAGGTGTGCATCTAAAGAAAACTGCTTTAAGTCGGAAACATAACCGATTTATGTCCGATGCTATTTGCGACATCCGGGGATTTTCCGCTCCTTGGATATATTTGCAATTGACTTCTATGGACTGAGTTGTGTGGATGAAAGAATCTTCTCCTGTGGATCTAATTCTATGCTACTTGTTGAAACATCATTGTTGCTTCACCTATTTTTTATGATGCATGATGTTTTGATTTTGCTGCATTCCTATCTGGTTCTGTTTAGGATAGGTTATTCAGGTGTTGAGCAGAGGAAATCCAGTCCGAAAAAAAGTTCCCCGCCCCGACATATGGCCTGGCAATGATTTTATCTCCAATCTGACCAAAAGGCAGGTGCTGGTTTATCAGATGGTGAAGAGCGTAGAAGAAGCTTTGGATAGTGTGGCTAAGAGGAGGTCCATTCCCATGGTTAAGCATCAGGAGGGAACAATCATGAGCAAGAAGCCGGTTAAAGCTTCGGCAGTCGCGGTATTATCTTTTCGACTGCTTTTCTGTTTTTCTAATTGGTTCAGTTCTTTTCCCTTGTATGCACACTTACCTATATGAGCACATGCTTGTTGTTTGCATGGTAATGATCAAATAATTTTCGCCTTCGATGTAGCAGGTATCACATGTACATGAGAATGAACGGTCACATTCAAGTGCAGATTCTGTGGATTCCGAAGTTGAATCGAAATGCGTTGTTTGCTTGGGAAGCAGCGGTTGTCGGATTGTTCGTGCAAGGACGAAACTAATGAATGTTCTGATCGAGAAGGGGAAGCCTCAAGAAGCTCAGTTTATTTTCAACAGCTTAGTGGAAGGACACAAACCAACTCTTGTGACCTACACAGCTCTTGTGTCGGCTTTAACCCGCCAGAAACGTTACAAGTCCATTATTCCGCTTATCTCCAAAGTGGAAGAGAATGATTTGAAGCCTGATTCGATTCTCTTCAATGCTATTATCAATGCCTTTTCGGAGTCTGGGAATGTGAAAGAAGCTATGAAAATCTTTCAGAAAATGAAGAAGAGCGGATGCAAGCCTACGAAACCGAATGATAGAACATATAATATTCTGATTAGGGCACGGTGCAACAAGCTGAACATAAAAGAAGCATGGAATGTGGTGTATAGAATGGTGGCGTCCGGTATGCAACCCGATGCTGTCACTTACAATACAATAGCAAGAGCCTATGCTCAGACCGGGGAGACTTATAGGGCAGAACAGATGATATTCGAGATGCAAAACAATAAAGTGACTCCCAATGTGCGTACTTGTGCTATCATTGTGACCGGATATTGTAAAGAAGGTAATATGACGGAAGCTTTGAGGTTCGTGTACCGGATGAAGGAGCTAGGAGTGAAACCAAATCTTGTTGTGTTCAACTCTCTGATAAAAGGTTTTCTTGATGCTACAGATACCGACGGAGTTGGTGAAGTGAGCTGCAGCCTTAATTCTTTTGTTTATTTTTTCCGAAAATTATTCTCCATCATCTAGTAAATTATAAAATGCTCCTGGAATCATGCACTATGATTAGAAAATATTACTTCTATCATATTTTGTGTTAACGATTCGCTTACGAAAAGCATACTTTGCCAGGCATTGACACTGATGGAAGAATTCGGGGTCAAACCAGACGTTATAACATTTAGTACGATTATGAATGCATGGAGCTCAGCAGGGTTGATGGACAAATGTGAGGAGATCTTCGATGATATGGTGAAGGCCGGTATAGAACCCAACGTCCACGCCTTTAGCATCTTGGGGAAAGGTTATATTCGTGCCGGGGAGCCAGGGGAGGCCGAGTCACTTCTGAAGTCCATGAGCAAGTTCGGTGTACATCCAAATGTAGTAATCTTCACCACCATCATCAGTGGCTGGTGCACTGCCGGGAAAATGGAGCATGCATCCAGAGTTTATGAGAAAATGTGCGAAACCGGTGTTTCTCCCAATTTGACTACTTATGAGACTTTGATATGGGGATACAGGGAAGCAAAACAGCCTTGGAAAGCAGAAGAACTCCTGCAGGTTATGGAAGAGAAGGGTATTTCTGTCGAGAGGAGCACCATACAGCTTGTTGCAGATGCCTGCCGTGCAATCGGTTTGCTAACCGAAGCAAGAAGAGTTCTAAAAGGTGTGGATTGAGGAGTTGCATCGAATAATAAAGATGAGATACCAGCCGAGGGTTTGGAGAAGATGTATAAAAAACAAAACCTCAGTGCTACTTATTCTAATGATTTGCAGATACCCAGAGTAGCCATGACCGAGCAAAATGGATCATCCGGTGCAAAAACAAGAAGCCAAATGGTGTTGAAGAAATATGAATCGTCATCGGCATTCCTCGCTCAATCAAGTGTTTATCGGGTGCAACCGGGGATTATATGCCAGAAACAGTTTACAACTACCAGGGATTATAGGATGCAAGGGCAGCTTGTAAATTGGTGTTCATAAACTGAAGAGAATTTGTTGGTGGTTGTCCGGATATAGTACACGGTGCTACTTGAATTTTCCGGCACAGGTGAGTTTGGATTTCTTGAAAGCTTATGATTCGAAAAAAAAAAAACTGTAGATAATGAAGAAGCTGTTCTTCAACGTATACTTTCATATTTATTGGGTCATTGGAGTATACTGTCGTTTTGTGTAGGAAACTCAATGTGACTCTCCCTACAGTGTTTATATACACATTGTTTGTATCAGGTAAGCCAGACGAGAAAGGCTACTGTTAATTTGTCTGTGAAAGTAACACAATTTTAGTTCTGTTTCTATAACTCAATATACCCCATATATTTTTATAGGGCAACTACGACTGCAAATTGCTAACATCAATCTACCCCGACTGCCACCATTGATATAATCATCGACAAACTATTTTCATATCCCTGGTTACGACTTCTTTTGTAGTACAGATATAACAGCAACAAGCATGAAACATAATCTAGTTCATATTTCTCTACATATACAGGTGGAACTTTGAACAACGAACATCATAATGAATCAAAGCTAATATTCTATGTAACAAGACACACCCTTAAACTATGATATAGTTCATGCTTCTCCAGGACAATCAATAGTCAACCATATTGGCATGCACCATTTTGAAACGGGAATGCTTAGATTGATTAATTCTCCAAACGATTCGTTAAAAAATAAACATGGAATTGAAAGGAAATCAAACAAAATAAAGGGAAGGGAATTGTATTTGAAAATTGAGTTTCTGCAACGTACATTTACTAGTATATAATATATATTCAGTTACAATAAACATTTTCCATTCTAATGGTTGAAAGAAACACAAAGCAACACTTACAACAACAGAAAACTGCCTACCTGCCTGAAATTGTATTTGAAAGAAAATATTGTTCTGTTACATTCTATGTGAACAAGCAACGATCAGCTTCAGTGGGATCTACTTCTTTCCAGAGGCAAACGTGTATCCAGTGTTAACAGTATCTGGGGCATCGACATCCCCCCGGACACCACAATTTCTGCAATGAAAAGAATGAACGAGAGAGATGGAATAAGCATGGTATGTTATGGTACAGCCACTTCACAATAGAGAAACCATCCTCGTGAAGGGTCAAGTAGAATGTAATCCCACCAGTGTTTCAAAAACCGGACCAACGGGTTGAAAAACGGTTCAATGTTAAAGTAACATAAAAGTAAATTCATATCAATAAAATAGTTGTTGCGTAGGGGTTTGTAAGCTTATGTGAATCAACCAGATGCAAGGCCACCCTCCCTTGAATTAGTAAATTAGGAGGGCAAATGAAAGGGAATCCCTCACCAATTCCTTCACGGACTGATAGATTTGGTCTGATAACATCATTGGTATTGATGAGGAATATATCACCGATGTAAAGATGATTCGTGGGAACATAGACACAGCATAGCTCTTCTTCACCGGAGTAGGTCTGCATTTTAAAAATTAAAAATAATAAGAACAACATTCTTGATATTGAAATTGCCTGATGTGTCTTATTATATCTCATGCTTTCACTGCTAAATTTTAAAACGGTAGTCAAGGAACCAAATTTTTAATTGTTTATAGGACATAAACGTAAAAAAAAAGACTTCTCCGAAACCAAAAAGAAAAAGATTATGTAATGAATGCCCAAAATACTGCCACAGCAAATCCAGCCGACATTTGCGAAAAAGGAGAGGAGTATACCACTAGCTATATTTGAAGAAAATGATTTTTGTACAGTGGAAAGTTATTTCCAACGAGAATGCCAGGGAAATAAGAACCAAACCACTCCACAACAAGCAGTCTCGAGGGTTCTAGGAAAGACAACGTGAATGCCAATCACACCATGCAGAAATTATAGTTTAGGAACAAAAACTTTATTTGCCCACCTGTAGAGTAACAGACGAAGTAATGAACCCAAATGCATATTCACCAATACGTGGATGCCTTATGATGGCTACTTCCTTGAACGCCTGGGTGTTCTGATCTGAAACAGAATAAAGATATAAAACATGAAGGAGATGTAAAATATAGAATGTCACTATCTGAAATAAATTTATTAACATGACCAACTAAACTAATTTATGTTATGTCAAAGAAAACCAGCAGAATGCATACCTGGTGATATAGCAGAACTAATCTGCTTGGAGGCATTGTAGATATGACGAACAAATGGCATCCGTTTGATAAACCACTCACCAAGGCCTAGAACAGATGCTCCCAACCATGATGACATGAATACCCCAACCAAGAAGATGAATGTTATAGAAGTTACAAATCCAAGACCTGTCGACAAAGCACAAGGAGAAACCATCAAGAGGCCTTTTAAGTTAGCCAGATAGTACATATCCTAAAAAGTGACATTCCAAACAAAAAATGACAAATATATTGACATTAGTACATGTAATAAGGGTATACTATTTGCAAAATGCCACTACTTGAAAGTCATTTAGCATTCTTGTAGCATATATAGAAATAATATACCATGTTAAGGATATGTAAAACTACAATTTAATAAACTTTCTACCCTAGGCAAAAATGTCCAGAATATATACATATATCTATGTGTGTCTATTTATTTCCAAGCTATCAAAGTCTCATTCTTGCCAATTTCTATGAATAATGCTAATAAGTATCATCTAGGCTGTAAGAACAAGGACATTTTTGAAAAGACAGTATATGATAATAAGCATCATCCAAGCTCTCACAATTACCAATTTATCATAATTGTCAAAAATACCTACAAAAAATTGCAACGCACAACAATCCGCTATCATTCAGCGGCCTTAAGGAAAGATATCATAAATTTACAAACTCCAAGATCCAATGGAAGGAAAGAGTAAAGATTTAATAAACCACTAAACAAGTTCACAGATCTAGAGGGGAGATGAAAAGAAAATTTTTTAAGCTGCTAGCTAAGTTAGATGCTCACCAAATATATCGATGCCAAGTTGAGCATAAATTGGAGAGAAAAAGCCATCCACAAAGTGAATAAACCACCATGTTATGTAGAAAGTGATTGCTATAGGAAACAGAATGACACTGCAAAACAACAATGAATCAGCTATGTCCATAACAGCATAGTGAATGGTAATAGAATTTCCATAAGATATAAATTCCATTAACATGTATTTACTATTAGAAGCCAAATCTAAGAAGTTTCCGAGTCATCAACTAAAAGTTTACCACAGATTCACGATGGCCAGAACTACCATTTCTCTAAGATGATAGATAAGTAGCAAAGGAAATTCATGATAAATCAAAAGCAAAGAGATCAAAGGATGCTGCTTACCATCCCGTCATGAACTTCTTTGAAGCCCAGCTCCGTAAAACTTTGTAAAAGGTCTAGATAAAACAAAGCTTGTCAGGCAAAATTTTCAAAATAAATAAATAATAATAATGTACAGTTGTCATTACATGAGTACATAAACAAGCATGGGTAAAAAAATATCTGTGTTCAAATATTTCAAATAACAAGCATAACAATATTCTTACTACGCCATAGACCAGAAAAAAATTAACAAGTCTCATAACCGGAAGGGTGACTCCAAATTCAAACCTTTATTTGATCTCAACACCCTAAACTCATCTGAGGGCATTTACAACAGAAATAGACTACAAAGATATCAATAATCATATACACTTTGGAGCGGGCTTTAACATGAGTTATACAGCATTTTAAGCTAAAATATAAAACTCACATACATGCAAAAACTTACATTAGCCTCTAAGAGAAAAAGGAACCATTATCACAAATCTTGGACAAGACCCAAGCAACCATCGGTCTTATATTCTGATTTAAAAAATAGAAAAGAAAGAACTACAAATTTTTCAACAGCTCCAATAAATTATATTGTAATCCTACGAACACAATAAAACAGTTCAATCCCATATAAGTATTCTAAAAATCAATTTAAAACATCCAATTTTCTCTCCATTAACAACTAAACATTCAATCGAAATCGCACAAGCTCCATTATGAAAGTAACAGTTTACGTTAATTGATTGCAAACTTTCCATTATCCAAAAAAAAAAAGAGCTGCAGTAGACCAAGTCAAATCGAATCCAATAAAAAATGTAACTTCAATTAACAACCAAAAAAATCTATTTCAAAATCTATTTTCCTGAAAAAGAGAGACCTCACGGCCGGCGTGATGCGAAGAAGATGAAGGAGAAGGTTTGGAGGAATCATCGTAGGTAGAGTCGGCGACCGGGATTAGAAGCTCTCGATCTCTACTCTCTCTATCTCTACTCGCCATCACGAGCATCGATTTGTCATCGCCCATCACCAAAAATTCACAGCTGCTACTAATCTCCCCCTACAAGTAATCCCAAAAACCCTAACTCGCATCGACCGTTTCCTTCCAACTCACTGATGATCAATCACGAACAAGAAACAAAATCACAAACACACATATATAATTATAAATATATATAGATAGATAGATAGATAAATTCAATTTTGGAAATTGAGATGAATCAAGGGATATAGGGAGGAGCAAGGGCTCTTTGAAATCTATGCTTGCTTCCTCAATTTTGACAGTGTTCTTGTAATTGGTTTTTTTAGTTAGGATAAATTACTCCCTCTATCACTCAACTTTAGTTTCTATATCGAATTTATTATTGAATTTTAAATTGATATTATGGAGCTGCTATATGTTAAATGTCATATTAATGTAGTCGTTTTCTTTCTTGTTAATTTTAATTTATGTATCAGTTTAATGATATAACTGTAAAATGTTTAAATTTTATAGGTAAATTACATCATTCCTCATTAAACTATACTCTTTCTCTTATTTTCTTCACCCAACTTTTAATTTTTCCATTTTGCTCATTGAACTTTACAGATTGAATCATTTTGCTCACTCTACAATTAACTATTTAACGGCGTGATGATATGGCACAAGAATCAAAACAATGTCGTTTTAAAAAACTCAAATATATTCCAAAACAATGTCGTTTCGAATCCTATATTGAAAGTTCGGTGAGTAAAATATGAGAGAGAATAAAATTCAGTGAGGAATTGTGTAATTTACCCTTTTTTTCTTTTCTTCTTCATTTTCTCCCGTTGGCCACCATGTCATTTTCATTCCGGCCACCGTCCATCGTCGTTTACAATGACCGTTCGATCCCAAATTTCATGGGTCGGTTCATCTCAACCCCCTGAATCCAAACCTGGAGGTTGTTTCACTGAAAAATGTCCCAAAACCTACGAATCTTGCCTGAAACATTTCGGGTTCCTCACTTTAAATCTCAAACTTCAGAGTAACTTTCGAAAAAATGGAGGTCGAATTCGGACTCACGATGGCAAGTCGAAGCGACCCATTAAGTTTGGGACCAAACGACCACAATTTATAGCGGACGACGGTGGTTAGCGGTGGCATCCCACCATCTTCTGGTTTTATTTAATATTTTTAATTATTTTATATTAAAAATAAAAAAAAATGGTACATCATCCAGTCGTTAGAGAGATAATAGGAGAATGAACAAAATAGAAAAATTAAAAGTTGGGTGAGGAAAATAGGAAAGAGAGTATAGTTCGATGAGAAACGGTGTAATTTACCCAATTATACACTAAAAATTTCGATTATGTTTGCAATTAATTATCACATGTCGTCAATTATAATGCATAATAAGATTGTCAAAATATTTACATTTTATTCATTTTTATCTCATCTTAATATTTCACAAAAAACATTTAATATAGACGAAAATGCATATTAAAGTATGATATTTTAATAGTTTAATCTCATTTGATGATCAGTCGATGAGGTTACTTTTGAGGTATGTTGTTCAAATAACAAAATAATATATATCATCATTTAAATTTTTGAACAAACATCTCAAAAACCTCAAATACGAGAAAGTCCTTAAATAAAAAAGATATAAATTTTTATGTTTAATTTCGTCGATTTTAAAAAGGATCGAAAAAATTGAACTCGATAGATTGATAAAGGAGGTGAGACGAATTTATCAAGATAATAAAATCTGATATCAGAATTTGAAACGACTATCATATCTCAATCATCATCTTAACATCCAGCTTAAACAATCGTCAAATTTTTAATGAAAAAAGACGAGTTTAGAACATAATGAATAGTTTGATGACTATTTAACTTTTAATAGCGAAGGGACTTAGCAAAACAACATTCTATAGTTGGAGGATCATTTTATAAATTTTAATAGTCGAGAGACTTAATAAAGTAATACACTATATATGGGGACTATTTGTGTATTTTACCCACAAATTTAAGGGTAAACTATTTTTGTCACTTAATTTTGTTTATATTTTCATTTTGTTCCTCCAATTTTAAAGTTTTAATTTCATCATTAAATTTTTTAATTTTACTTATTTTGATTGCGTGGACATTAATTTAAAGTAGTTTAAACTTTTTAGATAATTTTATGTAAAAAATTGTTTTTTGAAAAATGAGAAAATTTCCCAAAACTTTGCTAAAACCTTTTAGAGTAAATCACGTATTTAATTATAAATATATTCTTAAATTTATGTTTTACTCACTTAATTATTTTTTTTCATAAAATTATATTTAAGGTTAAATTTTGGTTATACTTCGATCATTTGTTGTTAAAAAGGTAAATATAGATGTTGATGTGATATTTTTTTATTTTTTTAATAATAGTATGATATTATTTTATGATGATATCTCAGTATTAATGTTAAACTTTTAATGATGATGGTCAAAATAAAATTAAAATGTAACATTAAGGATGATTTTAAAAAATAATTGACTTAAAATAAAATTATAAAAATAAAAGATAAATTATATATTTAGTACCTAAACTATCAGTTTTAGTCCATATTAGTACGTAAACTTTTAATTTTTTTCAAAATCATACCTAACGTTTAGTTTTCATTTCATTTTTGTATATCGCCATTTAAAACCTAATACATTTAGTACCTAACTATCAATATTGACTCGTTTTAGTACCTAAACCTTCAATTTTTTCAAACCATACATGACGTTTAGTTTTTCATTTCATTTCAGTATCCCGCCATTTAAAACCTAGCGCATTTAGTACCTAACTATCAATTATAGTCCGTTTTATTACCTAAATTTTCAATTTTTTACAATTTAACGTTAAATTTTGAACGTGATACTAAAATGAGACAAAAACTAAAGTTTTTAATTGTGGGATACTAAAATGAAACGAAAACTAAATTTTAGGTATAGTTTTGAAAAAAAATAAAAGCTTAAGTACTAAAATAAATCAAAATTAATAGTTAAGATACTAAACACATAATTTACCCAATAAATATGTGAGTTGAGTTAGCCATTTAACAAATAGTGACGCAAATAAGAGAGAGAAAATAAAGATGGAAGGAAATTTCCCCATCTACGCTAGAATCCAACAGCACTTGCCATATCTGCGTCACTCCGGATTAGAATCTTAGATTAGATATATCCACAGGAACCCTAATTTTAAGAAGTTGAAGAATCTGACAAATTAACAGAAGGGATTGGAGTACGTGTCACCATTCTAAAAGTTGTATAATTCATACGCAATAATGGTCATCATCTTCCATTTTTTCTCCCATATAACTCAACCTTCTGGTTCTTCTTCTCAAGCTCTTCTGGCTTATCTTCACTCTTTTATATGCAACAATAAAGATTTCATCACAAAAGCAAAAGAAGCTGAAGAGATGTTGGAAGGCAAGGCTTTGATAAAAGAAACTGATATGCCGGAGAAGATGAAAACCCAAGCCACGGATTCTGCTTCTCAAGCTCTTGATCTATATGATGTTTCTGATTGCATCTCCATTGCCTCTCACATAAAAAAGGTCTTCATTTTTCAATACCCTTTTTTTCTTTTTGCTTTTATATGAAATATTTCGTTTTTTTTAAATGCAGGAATTTGACAAGAAATATGGAGGTGGATGGCAATGTGTGGTGGGTTCAAACTTTGGTTGTTTTTTCACTCATACGAAAGGGACTTTTGTGTATTTTGCTTTGGGAACTCTCAATTTCCTTATATTCAAGGGTTCATCTTCTTAGGGCAGAGCCAAAAAAAAAACCCAGCTTTATCGGTCTGCAAGATGTGTATGTTAAGGGTAATAAGCTTGATGAGTCTGCTGCTGCCGAGTTATGTTCAAATAGATGAACTCAGCTGTTCAGATGTCTCTTTATTCTTGTTTGCAATGTTCTTGAAAGAAGTACTGTGGCCGAGTTAGAATAATGTAAACTGTATTTTTATTTGTGAAATCGGTTGCTTTTCTGGTTGGTTGTCATTTTCAGCAAGGCTGCTGCTTATAGGTTAATGGCAATTGGCAAACTCCAGCGCAGAAATGGTGAATGATTGAGTCTTGAGTAGCTTTCAAAGGAACCGAGTCAGTCAAGGTTGTCGTCGTGACACACGGAGGTCTAATGAATGACCGAGTTTATATTAACTCGGTTTGAATAAGTTCTAGGCCAAAATATATGATATATTATATATGAATTCATATATTAAAAGTAAAATAAAGCTTGGGTTATTTACATATTTTCAGATACAGCAATGAAACTATGAGTTTGAATGGGAGAAAATGGCCAACACTCGCAACTCTGCCTCCTTTGGTGTTCTGCATTACTGATCTTGTTGAAGCTATTGAATCCGCAGATCGGATGAACCGTTTTAACAAGTTGTTAAGCAAAATTTATGCACAAATCTCTGCAATTATTTCTCTAAATAGTTGCTTTTCTATATCTTCCACTACTTGTATTGTGTCATCCATTGAGAATCCTTTCTTCCAACCCAAGTCCCATATTCCACTCAAAACTTCACTGTGGTTTATATCTCTTTCCAGCATTGCATAAAGGCTATCGGTGGGGTAGTTTTCATCGGCAAGTTTGCTATAGCTTCTCAGAGCTTCGACACCTTTGCGAGTTTCCTTTAACAAATGGTATAGAGAGAGATGCCTTTTGGCATTTCCTACCAGGCTTGACCAGGGATGGTGGATCAGTTGAGAATCAGGATGGCTTTTTCGTTGAACAATTTCGTTCGCACAGTCCAAGGAAAGTCGCGTGTCATTAAAAGCTGGACTGCTCAATAGCAATGCCTTTAGACCGGTCTCTGTCATGAAGCTTTCACTGTCGACACCAATAGGAGTGATGGGATCATCATCGTCTCCGATAGATTTTGTTCTGTTCTGATCATTGATAGCAACTGGAGTGACTTCACAGACAGAACTCTCACAGCATTGTTCTGTAAGAGAAACAAGACAAGAGAAAAGAAAGTCACATCCCCATTTTGATCATTAAGTTTGTTCTCAAGCTACATGCTTTTCTCTCAAGGCAAGATAATCAGAGTTAAATAAAAGTCAAGAATCTCAACACGACGGACATTGTGGATTCACAGTGTCCTGGAATCTATGCGGTTGACTGAGAGGAGGAAGTATCAGCATTTGAAGAGAAACAGCAAATTCCAGCATGTAACATTGTATAAGCAATAACATCAGAGGTGTCTCTATATGTATCTACATCTCTAATGTGAGCAAATGGCATCTTGCTAATATCAATACTGTGATTTGATAAAATTTCAGTCACAAAGGGTGTTACCTCCAATCTGAATATCAGTGTGTTCTGTCTCCTCATCTGCAGGAAGTTGATATGCCGTTTCAGTGCTATGTCCTTCCGAAACAGTATCATCATTTGATGCAAGATCAATCCTCTTTTCATCCAAAACTGTATCATTTTCGGATGGAACATCGATCCTCTCTTCATCCAAAACTGTATCATTTTCGGATGGAATATTGGTCCTCTTTTCATCCAAAACTGTATCATCATTTGATGCAAAATCAATTCTCTTTTCTTCCAAAACAGTATCATCATTTGATGCAAGATCAATCCTCTTTTCTTCCAAAACAGTATCATTTTCTGATACAATATTAATCTTCTTTGCTTCCAAAAGAACCTCGACTCCTTTGCCTTCTAATTTTTCAGTCTGCACAAACCCCATTTAATAACGTTCGATTCTATTTTCATAGCTCAATACGTGCAAGGCAAATGCATTTTAAATCTCGTATGTCAACATGCTATTAAATGAAATTAGAATTATAACAGCAGAAAGTAAACTTAAAAGGACTCACAGCTATTTTAGCTACGGTAGGCTTGCTCACTCCCTTTTTCGTTGAACTCTTTTTCACATCAATGGGGCCACGAACTGTATTTTGTGGTCTGCGAACAGAGTCGGAGTTTGCAGTTGGACTTGGTTGATGGGAAATTTTATTTTTCGTAACATTTGATGCATTCTCAGGCTTACTGGGCTTTCGAGGGACAACCTCAGCTTGATCTCTAGACCTTGATAAGTTCTTTGCTTTTGCAACCTCCTTGCCAAATGGTTTCCTGCTGCTTATAATAGGGTTCGGTATCATGTCGATGTTCTTTGCAGTTGCCATTTTCTTCACAGATGGCTGAGTTAGAGAACCCGGACTTTTCACCTTAGTAGGAAGGCTTTGTTTAATCTTCACTTCCTTTTTCACTGGTCTGGTCTTGTTATTTTGACCGTCTTTTCCACCTTCCTGCTGGATAAGTCTCTTCACTGGAGTTTCTTTTGCTTCCACTCTTCTGCTCATTTTACTGAAGTTCAAACCTCTATTATCGGGGTCAAATATTTTGGAAGGAGAATCCTCTTTAACTTTCGGCTTTTTGAGCATTGTTTCGATGTTTGAGCTTCTCTCCACTTGAAACACTGGCTCAAACTTCTCTTGCTGTTGCAGATGTGGATCACGTCGAGGTTTTATGAGTACAATAGGTGGACTGTTGTTAATCAACCTGTTTCCGGTAAAGAAGTCACTTGATTGATAGGAATCAGGCCTAATCTCTTTGATGGAGTTGTTTTTCAGAAGCCCTTTAAAATGCATGGTCTCAAGGACATCCTTCAGCGTCTTCTCTTGATCTTTTTTTCGTAAAACAAATTGAGACTTCCGTACTTTCGGCGTATCAATTTCGAAGTTAGGTCTTTGTTGACTGAAAGTCTTGTTTTTCTCCATAACATTCTGAGAATGTGTCTGCAATGATTTTGAAGGCATTTCTTCAAGTCCCATAAGCTTTGCGATCAAACTTGGGCCTCTTGCCTTCTTCTCTTCAATTGCCGAGCAGACAGACGAATCCATGGAAGTAAAGTTGTCGGTTTGAAAAGAAGAAGATCGACTCAAGCTTGTGGACGGGATATCTGAAGCTAAATCCAGATCTCTTGAACTAAAACATCTCTTTTCTTTAGCCTTTGTTTTTGGTAATAGATTTTGCCTAGCTAAGCTATCTCTAATCACCTCCCTAAGCTCGTCAATGCAATCTATTGAAGAAGCACCTGTTGAAATGTGCGAATTCTGGATTCCCTTCTGAGAATTCCGCTCACCGATTGGACTCGAATTCACTCTCCGAATCAATTGATCGTTTCTCTCCTTATCAGATATTTCCTTCTCTTTCTTCTTCAACCAAGACAAATGAGATGCTTCTTGCAACTTCCCCAGCACGTGTAAAGAATCCTGCAATTCGAGAGCTCCTTTCAACAGATCTTTCGCTATATCTTCCGAATGCTGATCGCACCAAATCCCTCCTCTCGACCCCGAGTTGATCACCTGGTTCAGCTTGTGAGCCCCTCTAGAAGGCTCCACCAGCTGACAGGAAGACGAGCAACGAAGTTCTTCCACGGCAGCGTTCGACACCGTCTCCTCTCTTTCGACCTTAATCGATACTCGGCCTTTGTTCTTGCGCTCCATCTTCTTCGCGGACTCTACGACTCCCTTCGGATCATCACACATAACAAACGATCTGCAAACAATTGACCTTAGACCGTCTTGAGGCATATTCTGTTTATCCAAAGCGTTTTCTAATGTCAGGTTATACAAAACTACAAATACTCAAGACACCAAATCCACCAACACTAAAACGTATTCTCATGAGATGGTTTCTTACATGCTTTCGATATTCTAATAATCAGTCTTTTTCAAAGATTGTTCAAAACATACAACAGCAACAAATGTTCTGCCCTGGTTCAATGAAAACAACATAAGCAACATCCATAAATCACTTGCTGCCGTCCCAAATAAACAAAAAGGCAAATGAACGGAAAGAAACAAAAAACAAAATTCCATTTCCTTTTGGAATGTTTCAAACTTCAGCTACTGAATCATCTTCCATACCAAACAGATCCTTCACTAAAACCAAAACCGAAAGTGCCATCTTTTATGAACAAATCAACTCAGTTTTCTCTCATTTCCCGAAAGAAGGCAGAACAAAGAAGACCCAGATGAGAAACCGCAAGTAAAAAAGGGGGAAAAACAAAGACCCAAGAATTTAAAAGCTGGGAATGCTGACCTTTTCTGCCAGTGAAAGTGCAGAGATTCACATCCAAAGAGGAGAAGAAAGCAGCAAGGAGCATTGACTTAGTTGTTGAAGCAATGAAGGGGGATTCAGCTTTTGCTTCCAAATCAAAGAGAGAAAAATCTGTAAAAAATTATGTTTTAGTTGATTAGTTTAATGAGAAGAAAGAGAAAAAGAGAGAGTTTGAAGAAGAAGCAGAGTGAGCGGCGTGATTTCATGGCGGTGGGACTTTTTGTTATCAATCTATCGGATGCGTGTTGCAGAAATAAAGGGAATAAAATAAAAAAGAACGAAGAAAACAAAAGGAAATCTGTTGGAAAGCACAACGAGGGAAAGGACAGTTTACAGTAAATTCAAGCTTTTTTTTTTTGGCAGACTACTGCTTCGTCTTCCTCAGTAACTGTTCTTCGCATTTTTTAAATTGTTCTCCAGTTTTAAGGGTAAACTATGTATTTAATATTTAAACTATCAGTTTTAGTTTGTTTAAGTATTTAACTTTTATTTTTTAAATTATAACTAAAGTTTAGTTTTTATTTATTTTTAGTACCTACCATTAAAAATTTTAATTTTTGTTTTATTTTAATACTACCGTTCAAAATTTAATATTAAGTTTTGAAATATTGAAAGTTTAGGTATTAAAAAGGATCAAAACTAATAGTTTAAGTACTTAACACAAAGTTTTTAACGGCGGCTACTAATGTAACCCCCTAGACCCGGTCTGTGAGTTAGACTCAAACCTAAGTGGTCACATATCCCATTCAGAGGTTTTTTTTTTTAATATCTTACAATACATTATATTAATAATATAGATATGTCCAAAATTATAGCAAATACATGTCACCAAACATAACTGAAAAACATATAGAAATATATGTTCGTACAAAATAAGTAGTTGATTTCCACTGATGCCAAATCTGTTAGCTTACTGTCTGCTATTATCTGAAAAAGGGTAAAAACTACAGAATGAGCTAAAAAGCTCAGTGTGCTCCATACAGTATATAAGAAAAATATACAGATAAAATCTTTCAATGAAATCGGTTTATGCAATATGTTTTTGTTTTTATTTTTAAAACATGAACACTACCCCCATCCGTTCACATCATAGTTGTGTAGGTTCCCCAGAACCATACACCCAACCGCACATGCCATTTAGACCCTGAGCACAAAGCCGAAAAGTCTGCAGATAAACTTCCTTCAACAATACCCCCAAATGACAATGAATGTATTCAATTGAAAACAATGATTAATCACTTAAAACATAACAAATATTTCATACTTAGAAACCATATGCAGAAATACGGAAATCAGAATTCAAATCAATAATTCAGATATCAGATAAGCAGATCTCAGAAATCGGTATGAAATACCTTAATTCAGAAATTATATCAGAATATACAGCAAATCAAATATCAAATACTCGGTATTCAGATAAATTATTTAAATCAGTAATATAATACTGTTAGGAAACACACCTGTAACAGTCTGGGAAATCAGATAGGGAAGCCTATTACTGGGTATGTCGATCACGTTCTGCTGCAGCGCTAGACCCTATGAATTGGAAAAATCCATATTGGAATCCTAATATAAATAATCTAAATATTATTTAAATAATATACGGAAACCTACGGGTAATTCTCGTAGTACGCGGTTCAGGCTGATCTAACGAACGGATAATACCGGACCTAATTGATCCTTGCTCAGGTGAAACACGAGTACCTTCATAAAATATTTTATTGAAAAAAATCCTTGACCAAATCTCATTTAAATAATCAAAATATTAAAATATTAAGCCTTTTGGGTTTACAAGCTCGATTCAGGAATTTCGGGTCAGAATTTGGCAAAACGGACTTCGGAAAATCAAATTCAGGACGTCGAAAAACATAAAGTATGACCTTCCGAAATTTCGAATTCTTGGTCAAAAATAAAGTCAACGGGTTTGACTGACGATTTGGAGACTTTCGGGTTTGAATTTAGTAAAACGGATTCGAGACGTCGAAAACTATCAAGATAGGTATTTTTGGTCGAAAACAAAGGTCGTTTAATAGCCGGTCAAAGCAGGTCAAAGTTCTGGTCAAAAGAGGTCAACAAATTGTCAAACATTTTACACAAATAGCACCCATTTTAAAATAATTACCAATATAGCACCAAAACCAAATTAATTCCCATAATAGCACCCGTCAACGGGTCGGGTCAACGGTCGGGTCGGGTCAACGGGTCGGGTCGGGTCAACGGTCGGGTCGGGTCAACGGGTCGGGTCGTGACCGGTCAAACCGGTCAAAACCGGTTCAAAACCGGTTTCCAGCGTTCACTCACCTGCGGCGGCGCGTGTGGTGCGTGCGACGTCCTCCGGGGCTCTAAAAATCACGGAAAAATTTCTAAAAATTATTTTGAGCGATTTCGAGATACTTACTAAGATCGGTTCAAGTTTTTGAACGGCGGAGAGCTCGATTTCGACTCGGCCGAATCTTTGACTGATCCACCTCCCCACGCGCCGCCGTCAACGGAGATCGAGGATGACACCGGCGGACTCGGAACGGCACAAGGAACACGATGGTGCGGGAGGTGTCGTAAACGGAGTAGCGATCGATGATGAATTTAGGATTTTCTAGGCGATTGAGCTTAAAAAAAAACGTCGATGCTTTGACTTGAAATTCACGGTGTTTGGCAGCGTTTCGCTTCAATTAAATTGAGGGAATTGTTCCTGACTCGATAACGAACACGATGGTACTTTCAAAACGACGATCGGAATTCGGACGGTGTCGGAATCGTCGTCGGAAGTTGAGGTAAGGAAATGGAAATTTGGGAGGAATTGGGTTCTGATTTTCAGAACCCAATTCACGCATATATCATATATATAAACCAAATACCTAACTTTTTTGGGTAAATTCAGGGCTTGGTCCCTGAATTTTCTTTAACTCTAAAACAAGCTACAAGTTTTAAAACCTTTTAGTTTAGTCCCTAAAAATTACCAATTTTCACAATTAAATCTTTAATTCCATTTAACTATTATTTTGATATTATCGGGTTGTTACAATTCTCCCCCTCTACAAGAAATTTCGTCCTCGAAATTTACCTTATGAAAACAGATGAGGAAATTGAGCCTCCATTGACTCCAATGTCTCCCAAGTAGCTTCTGAGGGGCTACGATTACTCCACTGCACTTTGACCATTGGAATACGCCTATTCCGAAGGACTCGCTCTTCCCTCTCTAAAACCTGAACAGTATCCTCCTCATATGACAAATCAGGTCTCAGCTCTACCTCATCAACCTGAATGATGTGATCTGGATCTGGACGGTATCGCCTCAACATAGAAACATGAAAAACATCATGAATACGACTGAGCTGGGAAGGCAACTCAAGCTGATAAGCAACAGGTCCAACTTTCTTCAGAATACGATACGGCCCAATAAATCGCGGACTCAGTTTACCTTTACGTCCAAATCTCAATACCTTCTTCCATGGAGATACTTTGAGAAAAACATGATCTCCAACCTCAAACTCGATATCCTTACGTCGCTTATCTGCGTATGACTTCTGCCTATCAAATGCCTCTCTTAAGCGATCACGGATCAGTCTGACAGTATCTTCAGTCTCTCGAACCAAGTCTGGACCCAAAGTTTTTCTATCATGCAACTCTGTCCAACATATAGGAGTACGACATCTACGGCCATACAGAGCCTCGTACGGTGCCATGCGAATACTCGCCTGATAACTATTATTGTAAGCAAACTCAGCTAACGGCAAGAAATCTTCCCAACTACCACGAAAATCAATCACACAACCCCGTAACATATCCTCCAACACCTGAATCACTCGCTCAGACTGTCCATCAGTTTGAGGATGAAAAGCTGTACTGAAATTCAAACGAGTACCCAGAGCCTCGTGCAAAGCTTTCCAGAACCTGGAAGTGAATCTCGGATCTCGATCAGATATGATAGACAACGGAACACCATGAAGTCTAACGATCTAAGAAATGTACAACTTAGCCAGTTTATCCAGAGAATAATTAACCCGAATAGGGATAAAGTGCGCTGACTTGGTGAGTCGATCAACAATCACCCAGATAGAATCCTTTTTGGAAGGAGTTAGAGGAAGACCAGTAACGAAGTCCATCGTAATACGCTCCCATTTCCACTCAGGAATCTTAATTGACTGTAACAATCCAGACGGATGCTGGTGCTCTGCCTTAACCTGCTGACAAGTCAAACACCTTGCCACAAAATCTGAAATATTCTTCTTCATACCAGTCCAAAAGTAGCGCTCTTTGAGATTATTGTACATTTTGTCCCCACCAGGATGCATAGCATAAAGACTATTATGAGCCTCCTGAAGAATAATCTGTCTCAACTCATCATCTTTAGGGACGCAGTAACGACCGTGAAAACACAAAATATCATCCTGGTCCACAGTATACTCCGAACTCGATCCTTGCTTAACTTGTTCAGTAATGGGAAGCAACGAGTTATCAAGGAGTTGTTTAGCCTTAATCTCCTCGGCCAAAGTAGGTTTAACCTGTAACTCTGCTAATAAACTATTATCATCAAATAAGCTCAAGTTGGCAAATAAGGCTCTGAGATCTGATATCGCTTTACGGCTCAAGGCGTCTGCCACTACATTAGCCTTTCCTGGATGATATTCTATCTCAAAATCATAGTCCTTTAAAAGCTCCAACCAGCGACGCTGTCTCAAATTTAATTCTTTCTGAGTAAGCAGAT